GGACGTTCGGCGGGCGGTGGCGGGCTTCAATGCATACTCTGGGGACCTGACGTCGTGCGTCCTTTCTTCTTCTACGATAATGCATGAGCTTGCCTTATTTTCTTTCTATCTCATTTATCTTTCTAGGGCTATCTGCGCGGCGGCTCCTCGGGGGAGCGGATGAATTCCCGCAGATAGATACGGCCGATCGATAAATTCTGAAAGTTTTTGATTCTCCATCCTAAGATTTTGCGTTCGATCGACCAATAATATAGATAGTTAAAGAGAGATAAATCACGCGGAAGACCGTTCCAGAGGCAAATCGAAAGATTATATTTCCCGAATTGCCGCGTAGATAGGCGCAGAAAAAAAATAATAATTCGAAATCTCAAGAGATTCTTGGTCGTGCAACCCTCGCATCCAATCCAAATCATCTCAATCAAGCTATCTGCGCGTTGGCTCGGGGGAGTATATGCATCTCCAAAGATACATACGGTCAATCAATAAATTCTGCAAGATTTTGCTTCTCTATCCCAGATCTTTGATTTCTCCCGAAAAATCGTATAAATATCGTAAAAATATTCAAAGCGGTATTAATCACGTGAAAAATCATTCCGGAAGCAAGGGCCGCACGACCAAAAATCTCCGAGATTTTTGATGCCGCGCAAAAAATCAGGACTTTTATAACCCTCTAGCTTTTCCAAAAATTTCTAAAATCTCTGAGATTTTAGAATCCCTAGAAAAACCGGAAGAAATATTCGACTACGCACGAAAAAAAAAGCCAGAAATGACCACTTCATATTATTGAGATATTTTCAAATATATTTAGAAATCTTATCCGAATATAATACCACTATACGAAATATTCATATATCTATTTTTAATTAAGAATACTATAAAATTTAAAATATCATTTTAGATACAATCATTTAGAATTATCAAAATGAAAACAATAAATCAACGCATCATTTTAATATCAATCATTAATTATCAAATGAATATATTCATTCCAGATATTATAATCTCTAATTCCAGATATAATATATCCTCTAATTTAGCAGAGAATAATCTTAAATCTCGAATCATATTCAAATTCTATTATTCTTCTTTCAAGATTTAGATAAGAGAATCCTCAGATATATTATATTTATTATTCAATTATATATATAATATATTTCTTTTGAATTTCTGATTATATTAATGCAATTATAGAAGAAATTATATTTTGATAATAATTCATCTTAAAATATCTCAAAGGCATCTACGTCATTATTCAATCATCATTATAATAGAATAACGTATCATTGGAACCCGATATAAATATACCGTCATAAAAATAATGGAATACAGGAAAATAACGGAGAAAGGCAACGGTCTAGCGCCGGAAATCAATGGAATATTTGTGGAATTCAACGATTTAAGATATCAAATTCTATTCAAGGGAATAATATGCATTATTATGAATATTTAATGATTTAAGCTAGCACGAGAATCGAAACCAAATACCCAAGAATTGGCAAACCATCTTTTTCTCACAAGATGTCATCTTCGTCGCGGTGGTAGCCGCCCGGTGCCTCCAGGATGTGAAAAACTCCCAGACGCTCTGATAGCCAAAGCTGTTGTTCGTTTTCGTTATTTTGCTAGTATTAGTGTCATCTAGTACCCTTAACCCTTAACTCCATGAATTAGGGGAGGTGATGTTTAATCCAAAGCCCCCAAAAAAACACTAAACCCTAAAAACAATATAAACACTAAACACACTAAAAAGCGCTAAAAACACCGAAAACCCTGAAAACCCGAAACCACCTTAAACAACTTAAAACCCTAAGCCTTAAAAACCATATAAACACCATAAACCCTATAAACCCTTAAAAAACTTGAAAATCATTAAACAAAACTAATCACCACCTTAACAACCGTAGAAACCCAAAACCAGGGATGCCGCAGCTCAGGCTTCGGGGTTAAGCTGAAGATAATGCGAGGATTCTGGCAACCCAGACGTTTGGGGGGAGGATTAGTTTAGGGCTCAGGATTTTGGGGATTTAGGGTTCAGGGTTTTGATGGTTTAGGGTTCCAGGTTTTAGGGTTTAGGGTTTTTAGGGTTTAGCCAGACAGCTTGGGATTTGGTGGTTTCAGAGTTTTGGATCAACCCCTGTATGATCAAGACCCTTGGTGTTGGACCTGATCTCATTTCTCTTGAATGTGTGTTGGTGCCCACTCAAATAGCTTCAGGTCACAATGTTTGAGGCTTTAACATGTTTTGGCTTCGGGTGCCTGACAGAATTCAGACCACTCCCAGTAAGTTCATCCCGAAAGCCTTCAGAACCCCGATAGACGGTCATTAAGTAGGCCCTATGAACAATATGAAAAAGGGACATCATCACTTTTTCCGGGTGTGGGTTCATTATGATGGGTTTCTGGCAAGGAGATTGATAGTATCGACCTGCGCTCAACAAGCGCACGAGCTAGAAACAATTCTGTCCAAGCGGAATTCTTCTTCGCACTCAGAGAGGAGAAGATCCCCATATACCCCATATTCTATCTACTCAAGGGGGACTATAACCCCAATATATACCCTATTATAATATAGTACGAGTAGTTTCCATTTTCTTTTCCATTATCCCTATATAACCCAACTAATGAGTTTGTAGGAGTAGCTAGGATGATGTCGTCTTCCCTTCACACCCCAAGCTTCAACCATGGCGACCGAAGCTACAACGGCATGCAACACGTGGTTGACGGGTCTCGGTTGACCACGCGCGTACGTCTCTATACTAGGATCCCCTATCTCCACCAAAAAAGACGCCACTGAGACAGACACACACACACACACACACACACACACGCGCACACACGCACACACACACAC